TCATCACTCACTAGCTGCATGACCTTAGGCAGGTTGCCCAGCCCTCTGGGACTCAGTTTCCTCATCTGTGAAATGGCGCAATGATCATACCGCCATCTCACCGTTGTGTAGAGCAGTGCTGTCCAATAGATAGATGCGTCTATTCATCAAAATTGATTGCATCATTTAAAATTTTCTAGTATGCCCTGGCCGGTTTGGCTCAGCAGTTAGAGCGTCGGCCTGCGGTCCAGAGAGACCTGGGTTTGGTTCCCGCTAAGGGCATGTACCTCGGTTGCAGTTTGTCCCCAGCCCTGGTTGGGTCATGAGGTGGGTGGCAGCCACTCGATGTGTCCCTTTCACGTCGATGTTTCTTTCTCTCTCTCCCTCCCACTCTATCTGAACCAAAAAAAAATGGAAAAATGTCCTTGGGCGAGGATTAAAAAAAGTAAATAAATAAAATAAAATAAGATAAAATTTTCTAGTAGCCACATGAGAAAAAAAAACACAAACTAAAAACAAGCAAGTAAACTTAACTAATTTTAATAATGTATTTTATTTAACTCAGTATATTCCAAACATTACCACTTTAACATGTAATCAGTATAAGAAGTCATCAATGAGCTGTTATAGTCTTTTCTTTCTTTCTTTTTTTTAATTGTTTTTAGAGAAAGAGAGGAAGGGGGAGAGAGAGATTGATTTGTTGTTCCACTTATTTATACATTCATTCGTTGATTCTTTTTAAAAATTAAAAAAAAAAAATTATTTTAGCCCTGGCCTGTTTGGCTCAGCGGTTAGAACGTCAGCCTATGGTCCAGAGAGACCCAGGTTTGGTTCCCGCTAAGGGCACGTACCTCGGTTGCAGTTTGTCCCCGGCCCTACTTGGGTCGTGTGGGTGGCAACCAGTCGATGTGTCCCTTTCACATCGATGTTTCACTCTCCCTCTCCCTCCCACTCTATCTGAACAAAAAATGGAAAAATGTCCTTGAGTGAAGATAAAAAAAATAATAATAAATTATTTTAGAGAGAGAGGAAGGGAGAAAGAGAAAAACATCAACGTGAGAGAGAAATATCAACCAGTTACCTCCCGTACTTGCCCTGACTGGGGATCGAACCCGAAACCTTTTGGTGTGCCGGATGATGCTCCTCACTGCCCTCAGTAGCTACAGTGGCCAGAGGCTGCCACTGGGGTCAGCCGATGCTGCAGAGGGTCAGAGGGTAAAATGAGACCACATATGGACATGAGACGGCCGGGCAGGTGCGCATCAAGGCAGAACTATGGTATCGGCAGTGTTTCTGGAACAACCTGGTGGAAAAGTTGGTCAAAAGAAATGGGTTGGCGATGGCTGATTTGGCTCAGCAGTTGGAGGGTCGGCCTGCGGTCCAGAGAGACCCAGGTTCGGTTCCCGCTAAGGGCACGTACCTCGGTTGCAGTTTGTCCCCGGCCCTGGTTGGTCGTGGGTGGCAGCCACTCGATGTGTCCCTTTCACGTCAATGTTTCTCTCTCTCTTCCTCTCTCTCTCACTCCCACTCTATCTGAACAAAAATGGAAAAATGTCCTCGGGTGAGGATAAAAAAAAAAAAAGAGGTTAATTCTAAGGTCCATTCCAGGACAGTGGGCTCGGGGCGGGAGAGTCATCTGGGATATGATTCTGTAGAGATAGACAGGACTTCCTGAGGTTCTCTGCGTTGGACCTGGGCCTCGAGAACGGGCAGGATGTAGCGGTGAGTGAGGTGGAGGATGTGGTAGGGGGCAGGGAACAGAACCAGGAAGGGCCGGGCCGACGTCAGAAGCTCAGTTCCTTCCCGGGAGAGGCAGCGCGTAACCTGCTAGGGGCTGGGTGAGGCGATAGGGAGCGGTGTGGACTGGGGAGGGTGGACGGGCGTGGCCCGTCGAAGGCAGACACGACGCGGAAACTGGAGCCGTCACAAATATGGGTCCGGCGCTGCCAGGCTCCTCTGGTTTGTCCGGAGAAGCCAGAAATCTGGATTTTTATGTGAAATCTGACTTTTCAGAGTTGGCAACCCATTCGAATTCTTCTGAAGCACTGCGCTCAGCCAAACAAAACATGTCTGCAGGCCGGCTTCTGCCCAGGCGCCCCGTCGGCCAGTTGTGGTAGAGATCGTGTTGAGGGAGAGGCAGAAGCGGCGTCCTCGGGCCAAGACAGAGGGTGGGGGCGGACTGGTGAGGGGCAAGTCTGCCTGGCTGGGGGCTGGCTTTCCCCAGGACGATGGGAGCTGGACAAGCTGGGAGGGCAGCTGGGCTGCTTCAGACCCAGGGAGACAGCCTCTGGCACCCTGGGGTGGGGGCAAGTTCAGGTCGCAGGTCTCCCTGGGGTCTGGCTAAGGACAAGAGGCCAGACACCTGCTCAGGTTTACTCCAGCCAGATGGACTACCACAAGAGGAAGGGACCCGGGGGGAAGGGAGGACAGAGCCACCTTCTCCCTCCCTCTTTGCTCTAGGGCCCTTGCCACTGACCAGCTGCTTCTGTGGGTCCCCTCAATCCTGCTTCCCCACAATCACAGGGCTCTGTATCCACTATCCACCTGACCAGCTGCTTCTGTGGGTCCCCTCAATCCTGCTTCCCAACAATCACAGGGCTCTGTATCCACTATCCACCTGACCAGCTGCTTCTGTGGGTCCCCTCAATCCTGCTTCCCCACAATCACAGGGCTCTGTATCCACCTGCCGTGATCTCAGGGCTCCAGGGCCCAGATGGAGTTGCCTGTCTCAACTCAAGTTCTCAAGAGAGTGAAGCGAACTGGCCGGGTAGACCAGGTGGCCGTCTCAGACCCCGTCAGCTATGTCTAGGGTGTGCCATCGCCTAGTCGAACATGTCCCCCTAACCAAGCCCCCCTTTCTGCAGGCCTGTAAGCGAGCAGCTTGCCTAGAGAGGAGCTCATGGCAGACCTGTGGTGGGGAAGACTTGTCCCCATGCCTGAGCCCTCTCCAGTCCCCAGAGGCCCCTCCCCAGGCCCTGAGAACTGCCAGGGTCCTCACTGATTTCCGTGTTCAGAGTCTCTGGGAAGCTCACTGCAGGCCCCAGGAGCATGATCCTTCGTTCAGCTCAGAGTACACGGAAAACTAGATCCCAGGGGAGCTGGGACCACGCAGCCTGGAGACGAGGGTCTGAAACACAGACTGAGCACCTTGAAGGAACTGAAACCGGAGCTGAGAGGCCTGAGAGATCCGCCAGTGGAACCCCAGGGCCAGAACCCACACATCAACACCCCCCTGGTGGCTGTGGGGGGCCGTTGGGGTAGTCTGGCCCGCATGGGCTGTGGCCTGGAGCAGTCATGTGGGACCTTCAGAGCTGGGAGGGCAGTCCCGGAACCCCATGGTGGAGGAAGCAGCCTGGAGCCCACAGAATTTAGAGGCGGAACCCCAAAATCTTAAGGCACAGGTGTAAGAACTTGACCCCAGGCCCGGAGTGTGAGAATCCAGGGACCTGGAGTCCACAGCACCACCCCTCGTCTGGTGGAGTTTGAGAAGCCCACGCAAGGTGTGGGAAACTCCCCTAAAGCTGAGCGAGGCCGCAGATCCCCGTGGAAACCCAGATGGCAGAGGAGGCTGCTGGAGTTGTGGTTGAGAAGACCCCCTCCACCCCCTTAATCAGCTGCCTCCTGGCAGGGCTGGGGTCGGGCCAGCAGGACCACCGCCTCAGGAGCCCCTCTGGGTCCTCACAGGGATGGCTCCCACCTCTGCTGCCCTGTCTCCGGGCTAGAGGCCGGTCAGGCGCTGCTGGGCCTACAGACAGCGCGGCAGCAGGCCCCGGGGGGAAATCAGGCTGGGAGTCTGTGAGCTGAGCGCGGCAGGTCCAGCCTGGGAATCCTCGGGATGACCCCGGAGCCCAGGTTCACACTGCTCAAGGAGCCTGGGGGACACTGTGCCCTTGTGCCCTTGCCCCTTCTCAGCCCCAAAGTCTCGGGACACCTCGGAGCACTCTGTGCAGATGTTCCTCAAGTCAGCCTTGTCCCCAAGAGTCCCCTCCCCCTGCACTGCAGACCCACTGCTCCCCAAAGGGCTGCCCTGTCTTCCAGGCCACACAGTGAGCTCCCCAAGGTTTGTCAGGGTCATGGATGCGTTCCCAGTGCCCAGCCCCGGGATTGGTACATGGGGGGCCCTCAGTGGACCCTGGATGTGTTTGTTGAGTGAATCCTGAGAGCCCAGAAGACGTAGGGCCTGCCACGGTTCCTTCTGCTGAAAGTCCTTGACGACTGGGAGTCCCCAGGGCTGACCCATGTAAGGGACACATGCAGTAAGGCAGGTACCCTACTCTGGCTAAGAGGCCCATGGGGAAGGGGCCAGGGAGCCTTTGGGAGAGGGACCCAGGTGCCACAGGAAACTGGATCTTACTTGTTTTTTTTGTTTTTATCCTCACCCGAGAACATTTTTTTTCCATTTTCTGTTCAGATAGAGTGGGAGGGGGAGAGAGGAAGAGAGAGAGAGAGAAACATCGACATGAAAGGGACCCATCAAGTGGCCACCACCCGCACGACCGTCCAGGGCCGGGGACAAACTGCAACCGAGATACGCGCCCTTAGCGGGAAGCGAACCTGGGTCACTCTGGACCGCAGGCCGATGCTCTAACCACTGAGCCAAACCGGCCAGGGCCTTACTTGTTTTTTAACTTATTTTTCTTTATTGATATTAGAGAGAGAGAGGAAGGGAGAGGGAGAGATAGAAACATCGATGAGAGAGAACATTGATTGGCTGCCTTCTGCATGCCCCCCACTGGGGATCGGGCCTACAACCTGGGCATGTGCCCTGACCAGGAATTGAACCTGCAACCTCTTGGTGCATGGGTCGACGCTCAACCACTGAGCCACACTGGCCAGGCAGGAAAGTGGATCCTTCATATCTGGGTCTCATTGAGCCAGAGCCTCTGGCAGCAACTTGGGACTGGAATGGGGTCTCGGCGGGCCTGTCCCTTGGGGGAGTCTAGGCCATCTCCCTCGGGCTCCGTTTCTGTCGTTCAAAGTGTTTTGTAAGCATTAAAATGCTGTCCAAGTATCGCGTGATGCCATTTATTTAAAGTACAAGACCAGGCAAAACTGAGTGATGCAGTTAGAAGCCCGGACAGTGTCCCTGTCTTGGGTGGCTGGCAGCCCCCAGGAAGGGGACTTGTGCAGAAGGGCTGGTGATGCCCAGCTTCTTGATCTGGGTGTTGGCTGCGTTGAGAAAATACATTTTATGAGCTGTGCGCTCCTGACAGCTGCGCTTCTCTGTATATATTTCATACGTCCATGAAGTTTTTGAAATGCTAACCAACACAGAGGTGACAGTAAAAAAAGTCAGCAGCCCCCAGGCCCACTCCCATTTATGGAGCCCCCACCCCATCCCTGACAGCACTTCTAAATGGGGGCTCTCCTGGGGGTGGAGACAAGGGCGCTGGAGCTGCCCTGACCCGCGTTTCCGCTTGGATGGTACCTTTGGACCGAGAAATGGCCAAGTTGTCCAAAATGCCTTGATTCCGCTGCCCAGAGTTGGAGAAAATGTCTCCTACCACATCAAAAGAGAGGTGTTCGCCTCCGTTGAGGTGGCTGGGGGACCGAGGGAGTGGGGGGGGGCGGAGGGACCGCCCTGGGTCAGGCTCGCGACATTTCAGAAGGGGGGTCGGGGAGGGGAGCGCCCCGCGCTCACGGCAGGCGCCCCACGGGGGGTGGGGGCGGGGCCGGGCGCGTTGCGGAGTCCAGCCCCCTGCAGGCGGGGCCGCGGGGAGCTCCTCCCGCCGCCCACCTACCCCGCCCCGCCTCCCGCCACTGAGGGTCCACGGCCCGGCGCTCGGGCCTCTCCCCGCGCCCCCGGCCACCCCTCCACCGCTGCGCTCCCCCGGCCGGCCCGCCACGGCCCGGCCCTGCCCGCGTCCCGCCGCCTGGCGCCTCCTCCATGGGTGAGTGCGGGCGCCCGGCCATGCCCCGAGGTGCAGGCCCGCAGGGCCCCGCCGCCTCCGCGCCAGCTCTGGGAAGGGGGGCAGGGGCGCCGGGTGGGGGCTGGGAGCGAAGATTACCGGCTGTCCCTTCCCTCCGCGGTGGGGCTCGGTGGGGCTCGGCGCACCCCCTCCTCTGGGGGAGGCCTGCCCGAGGTGGGAGGTGGATACAGGGCGGCGGGGGTCCAAACTCTGCCCCCATGTTGGCGCTCACGTCAGCAGCACCTCTCTCTCCCCGCTCTGCCTGCTGACTGGGGTGGGCAGCTCTCTGCCCCTTCCCAGCCCCCTCCGCTGTTGCACCCCAGCCTTCCGAAGAAAGGCAGCTTGGAGGGGGCCAAATTCTGGGTCAAAGATGGACAGTGGGCAAGGGGGACCATCTGGGCCTTTGAGGGACACCCATCCATAGGGGGATTTGGAGGGCAGGGTTAGGAAGAGATCTGGGACCCTTGGGGGCCCCCTGCCCCCAGCAGCCCTGCAGGGATCCCCCAGGAAGACGGGCCCCACAAGGTCACTGAGCCACCCCCTCCCCCTCCCGGACTTGTGGGACAGAGGGAGGGAGCAAGGGAGCAGCTTATTTCCAAAGCTGTTTCTCCCGGTGGAATCTGGACAATTTCCCTGGGGAACAGCAACAAGAAAAGGGCTCCGCAAACAGATTCCCGTGCAGATAAGTTGGCATTTAAAAGAGAAAGGGACACTGACCTCCTTTGAAGGGAGGTTTGAGGAGACAGCCCCACCCATCCTCTGGTGGGGAGGCTACTGGGGCCCTGGGGGAGCCTGGGTGCCCCTGCCTGGGGCGCACCCTTCCCTGGGCCCCACCCGACTGATAACCTTCTGCTCTTCTCCCCTGCAGACTCAGGGAGCCTGGCGGAGGAGAAAGGACTGCGCTGTCAGAACCCCGACTGCATGGATAAGGGGCGGGCGGCCAAGGTAGGGAGCCGAGAGGACCGGCTCTAACCATCCTCTCTGTCCAGGCACGGACTTCTACGGAACCCTGGCAAGGGTGCAGCTGGCTCAGCCACAGTGCCCTCTGGGTTCAGGCGTGGGTAGGGACGCTGGGTGGCTGGTTTCAGAGGCAGAGGGGCTGGGATGTCTGCAGAAGCAGGGGCAGCAGGGGTACCCCAGAGCCCTTTTCTGTACTGCAGTCCTTGCAGCCCCCGTGACAGGAGCTGTGCCCCCATGTCACGGATGAAGAAGCTGAGACTCTGCAGGGGGAAGGGCCTTGCCAAGGTTCTGTGCCAGTGCAAGCTGGCGCCCTTCCTACGATACCAGGCCACACTTCAGGCCTGCGCCTGACTCGGGGACACTTTGGGACTTTGGGGCAATGACTGTGGCCCTGGGGCTGATGAAGAGAAGGGACAGAATTGTCCCAGAGAGCCAGGGCTTGGGAGCTGGGAATGAGGCAGAACAAGGGATAATGATCACTCAGCTTTCGTCTGCCTGTGATGTGCCGGGCGTTGTGCCATGCGCGCTGTGCCACGCGCTCTCTGTGCCGCGCTCTGCCACGCGCGCTCTGTGCCACGCGCGCTCTGTGCCACGCGCGCTCTGTGCCACGCGCTCTCTGTGCCGCGCGCTCTGCCACGCGCGCTCTGCCACGCGCTCTGTGCCACGCGCTCTCTGTGCCGCGCTCTGCCACGCGCGCTCTGTGCCACGCGCTCTCTGTGCCGCGCTCTGCCACGCGCGCTCTGTGCCACGCGCGCTCTGTGCCACGTGCTCTCTGTGCCTTATGTGCCACTTGTGGGAGCTCTGCTGGGAAGACATCATGGCCACGTTTTCCTAGTGAAGATACCAAGGTTCAGAGAGGTCCTGTGCCTTGGCTGTGGCCCTGCAGCTCCAGAGAGACCAAGTCAGGGTTTGAACCCATGTTCAGCTCCTCCGGGCACACATTTGAGTGACAGTAGTTACAGCTGCCACTACTTAGTGTGAGGCTCGGGCTCTGAGGACTCAGTGCCACTTCCTTCTGAGATCTATCCTATCATTATTCCCATTTACAAATGGGAATACTGAGGCTCCAGAGAGGTAGTGGCTGACCCAGGGACACACTGCTAGGATGTGGTAGAGCTGGGATTTGAACTCAGAGCCCAGATCTGTGTAATGCCAGAACCTGTGTTCCTAACCACTGCGTAGCTCAGCCCCGCCAGCTGCAGGAAATTAAAAATGCCACCCCCCCAGACACAAGTACACATTCTGCACAGAAGGCCACAGTTAGAAGGAACAGTTAGAAGGAACATGGAGGACTGTTCTGGGGGCGGGGAGAGGAGGGGAGCCTTCCAGTTACCCTAGTCACCAGGCAAGGGGGTGTCTGTGATTCAGACACAATCTGCTGGCGCGGATAGTGCCTGGCACTGGGGCTTTGGTGTTGGCTGGTTGCCTCTCCCCCAGATGGGGGCTCCTGGCAAAACTGGCCTCATTACCCCCACTGTTCCAACCTGCCGGGGGCCTGCACAGCCTTGGGGCCTCTGCCTGACCCTGAGGGGTGGCAAATGGGGCCAGACCACACTGTCCCAGGCCCTCGCGTGGGCAGCTGTCCTGGGGCAGGTCTCCAAGCCGCTGTAGGCCGGAGCAGGGGTCGGAGGGCCTGGACTGCAGAGGTGAGGCCTGTGGATGAGAGCTGGTCTCCCAGCCAGTGTGGGACCTCTGCAGCCGGCCAGTCTTAACTGCAGCCCAGCCCTGGCCCGCCTGGAAGTCCGCAGGGCTGACATTGGCATCCGCAGCCAGAGGGGTGCCCAGCTTGCAGGGGGAGAGCCCAAGCCCTGTCACTGCTGGGCCCCACTTTGGGACAAACGGCACAGACTCACTTCAGGGACCTGAGTGATCCGAGGGAGGAGGGCTAGTCAGGGAGAACATCCTGGAGGAGGTGTCCTCTGGTGGAAGGGGAACTGCCATGGGAATGATTACACAGGCAGGTCTTGCCAGGGGGGTGAGGTGGCTGGAGGAGAGGGTGAGAGGAGGCAAATGACACCCAGACTTAGTGAGCAGGAGGAACAAAGAATATCCTCATCGTTGTTGATAGTAATAACCACCAGTGACCAAGCATGTTTAGGTGCCTGGTGGGTGCGAGGCCCTCACGGAACTCTTGTGAGAACCTCAGGAGCAAAGCGGGTTATCATTCCCACATGACCTGGGAGGGGACTGAGGCTCAGAGGGGTGAAAGGAGTTGCCCCCTCACGCAGCTTGACTGGCAGAGCGTAGCCTGGAGTGAGGTCAAGAGCCTGCTCCTGATCTCTCCAGCCCATCTAGGAACAGCTAGCAGGGCAGACTAGCTTTGGGGAGGAGATGACATCATCATTCCCTCACTCACCAATCAGCGTGAAGCATCCGCCATGGCCGCAGTTCTAGACCCTGGAGGTGTCCAGGAAACAAAAGTCCTGCCCTCCTGGAGCTGACCTCCTGGCCTGCTGGGGGAGGAGGGAAGTGAGGACTCACTTTGCCAAACTGGCCTCCAGGCTGCCCTGGGGCAGGGCCCTCTTTCCACAGGGCTGGACCCTTCTGCTTCGGGGCCCACCCTGAGGTTTTGTTTGAACCGCTCCTGGGTGCTGAGGCTTCAGCTGATGAATCAGCTGCCCCACCCCTACCTCCTTCCTCTGGAGTTCACTCTGGGGACAGGGTAACCAGGGCGGGCTTCCTGAAGGAGGCTGCTGGCATCCTGAAGAACGAGGAGGTATTGAGATGGAGGAGAGCCGAGCGGGCAGGGAGGTGTGCTGGGGCTGCTCGGGAGGGAGCAGGGCCTGGAGGGTGGGGGAGGGAGGCAGAGCTGGACGGGGAGCTCCCTGATGTCAGGTGGGGAATCTGGACTGGCTGCCTTGGAGCCCCAGATCAAGATTTGTAGCTCACACGGGGTGGCTCAGTTGGTTGAATTTCGTCCGTGCACCGAAAGGTGGCCGGTTCGATTCCTGGTCAGGACACATACCCAGGCTGTGGTTCTTTCCCCAGTTGGGGCAGGCACCGAAGACAACTGATAGATGTTTCTCTCTCTCTCCCCCTCACTCCTACTCTATCTAACGATAAATAGGAAAAAAAAAAAAAAGCTCCGTAGAATAGCTCACATCTGTGAGCTGCAGAGTCAAAGCCCACCCCTTCCCAGCTGCATGACCCTGGGCAAGTCACTGCACCTTTCAGTGTCCAGATGAGTTGTGAGGAGGATTAAAAGAGGGCTTGCACCCTGGCTGGTTTGGCTCAGCGTAGAGCGTCGGCCCGTGGACCAGAGAGTCCTGGGTTCGGTTTTTACTAAGGGCACGTACCTTGGTTGCAGTTTGTCCCTGGCCCTAGTTGCGGTCGTGTGGATGGCAACCACTCAATGTGTCTCTCTCACATCGATGTTTCTCTCTTTCTCTCTCTCCCTCTCTCCCTTCCTTTCTCCTTCCTACTCTATCTGAAGATAAATGCAAAAATGTCCTCGGGTGAGGATAAAAAAAAGGGCTTGCACGTGTAGTGCTTGGCACTGTGGCACACTGTAAGTGTTCAAGAATGCCAGCCGTGACCAAGTGTTCACCACAGAGGGAGAGAGAAACCCCCGGGCTTCAGGGGCACCTTCCTTTCCCTTCCTAAGATCGGAGTTCCATCCCAGACCCCAGCTAACCCTGCCCATGCGCATGGTACATGTGTCCTTTCCAAGGGCAGGAGGAGCTCTGGGAGTCTGTAGGGAGATGGGGAAGTGTCACGTCCTCCCTCACGGAGGGCCAGTGAGGATGTGGGGGTGTCCCCGCTCTCCTGCAAGGGAACCACCGGCTGGACAGTGTCTGGCCCCTTGAGCTGGGCTCTTTGGTCAGAGTCTGTTGGGACATAAGGAGACATGGAGGAGGGCTGACACTGGCCCTGGGGACACTGGGCTACCACATTTGAAGGGACAGAAAGCTTGGAGTGTTTATCTTGGAGATGGGCCCCTCAGGGCATCACCCCGGGACAAAGGTAAAGGTCCAGCAGCCTACTGTATGCCAGGCCCTGCTTTCGGGCTTCACCACAGGGCCCTCAGCTAGTCCTTGCACCCTGCTTTGCAGTAGGTACCACCCCATCTCCATTAGAGACAGGACACTAAGGAGCAGGGAGGTGAAATGACTAAGCAGGACAAGTCACACCAGGTCTGTTTGTCCTCAGAGCCTCCCATTTCTAAGAAGGAAAGGGAGGTGAGTTTCCTACATGGCTCCAAGGGCCTGGCAGGTAGGCCAGTTTGGGTTCAGCACAGGCAGGGGCTGCACCTGAAGCTGCTCTCTGGGGTCTAGGTAGTGAGCACCCCATGCCTGGAAGTGCTCAAGCAGAGAGCGTGGAAGTTGGATTTGCTGACTTGAGTTCCCTCCCAGCTTGACAGTGGGCTGAGAGGTGGCAGGGATGAGGGTGTTTGTGTGTGTCAAGGGGAGGGGGGACCAGATGAGGACCCTGGCTGGGCAGAGGAAAGGGTGGATCCGAGCTCCCTGTGGAGGGGGAATGGGCAGGATGTAGCGAAGACTGGGACAGGGAGTAACCTACTCTGCACAGTGGTCTCGAGGATAAGAGGTGGGATCAGGGTACCCTTGAGAATGGCCAGATTCTGGGGTCCTCTGGAGGTAACTGGTCCTTTTAGGTGCTGATCAGTTGTAGGCAGAGGGCAGTCCAGTCTGCACCTGGAGAAAGGGGCTGGGCCAGAGAAGCAAGCAAGTGGAATCCCTGGGCTTTGGCTGAGTAATTGGGGGGGCAGGTGAAAGCCTGTGGGGCCTGGCCCAAGAGGCAGAGACAGAACCCAATACATGTCTGGTTAAGATAAGTGGCC